GGATCATGTACATTTTTTTCTCCATCAGCTGTTTAGTTATTTGAAATAAACTCAATTGGCTTTTTAAATTGGATGCCAATTGATGCTGCATGTTTTCGGGCTAGGAGGAAGTTAAAAATAAACAAAGGTGAATATACGAGTTCCAGGAAGCAGTTCAGAGGAAGGAAATACGACCACTGGTACAAGAGTTTTATTGTCCTGACGTTTTGGATTCAGTCAGGAATCCTTAATCATTAGTAACGCAGCTGCGTAAGAGCGCTACACCGGCACGTTGAGACGCATTGCGGCGAAGTGGAGGACAAATTTGCTAAATTACAATATCTTCGACGGTTACTGAGAACGAATGTTTACCCACGCCATTTTATCAACCTATGCATATTCAAACGAGAGAAGAAACCACTAATGGACGCCGAAGGCAGGACTGATGCCAATAGTTGAGAAAGTAAAAAAAAACAAATGAAGGGAGATTGGAAAGTGATGAAGAAGAATGTACGTAGCAACGGTAGAGTTTGAAGATTTGGTATTTCTGGCTTATGGGAGCCAGGTTGATGGGAGGTTTGTGACTCGCATGAGGTTCTGTGCTGTCATGCGTGAGTCTCTCTCTTCCCTTCCTATCTTCCTCCCTCTTCCCTTACACAACCTGCCCCACCATGCTCATCTCCGAACCGTTTTACTTTTCAGCGCTGTGCCCATCCCACATCAGGCGGCCGATAGCTGGACGATGACCTGTTGCTGGCGGTGAGGGAGAGAATGAGGTCGACCCTTGAACACCACAGCCAGGCCAGTGTGTCTTGCTGTGTGTAGTGTCTGTCTGTGTGTGGAAGCCTACCTAGCGAGACGTGCTGTTTGTTACGCGTGTTGAATGTTTGTCGCGCCAGCCGTCTGCGCTCTCCCGCATTTTCGGCCTTCTTAACTCTGTTTTGACAAACGGTTTCCGGTGGGAGGATGGTCCGAGAGTGCGGTAGGCCCGGCGAATATTTTTCTTACGCCATTTACGAAACATTTCCAAATATTTTCTGTCCTTAGACATAAATCAATCAAGAGAAACAGGTAAAAGAGAACGGACAGAAAATTTGAAATATTCGCTGAATCGTAGGATGTATTCTGCCCCTACATCGGGTTTCTGCAACGAGAGATTAGGGCCTAATAGTAAAAAGGTATATCAAAAACTGCTCGAGTACACGAAAAAGTAAGCTACTGTCATTTAAGACTGCGTGAGGCAGTGTTTCTGGCTTTCATTGGAGAAGGCGGCCAACACCGGATCCAATCTGGTATTCCTGACCATGGTGAAGTTGAAGAGTGTGGTTGGCGCTACATTCGTCCTCCACTACTCTAAACTACCCCCTGTACCCAGTTACCATCACTGCATCAGTCTGTTGGTGCATATACTGGACTTCATCGAAATCGATGGTAAAATAAACGGCGACCACCGAGATCTACACTCTTTCCCTACACGACGCTCTTCCGATTCAGCATCATCATCATCATCATCATCATCATCATCATCATCAACCTCAGTATTATCATAAATATAATCAACACCACCATCATCATCATCATCCTCACCATCATCATCCTCAGCATCATCATCATCATCATCATCATCATCATCATCATCATCATCATCATCATCGATCATCATCATCATCATCATCATCATCATCATCATCATCATCATCATCATTAACCATCATCATCATCATCATCATCATCATCATCATCATCATCATCATCATTATCGTCTCATCATCATCATCATCATCATCATCATCATCATCATCATCATCATCATCAGGAAATAACCCCTTATCCTTCCGATTTAAACCAACTCTACTTAATGAGACCGGAAGTCTACTCGCACACAAATGCGGATTCCGTGTTTAAAGAGCTATTATATCCGATGTTCACCACCGTATTTGCCGTTTCGAAGCAGTCATCAACGACCTTAGAAGCCAATGTGGTTCGTGTTTGCCTAAAAATCTTTTCGAAGAGGTAATGAAAAGAATAAATATCACCACAAAGGATGCCAGAATGAAGAAGCGAGCCAA